TAAATCAAATGTGTTCCTATACATCAGTGATGAATCCACTGAAAGAGAAATTAGGAAAACCACTCATTCATAATAACTTCAAAAAAATCAAATAACTTGGAGATCAATCTAAACAAACAGGGGATAGACCTCTATAATGAAAGCTACAGAACACTAAATAAATTGAAGACAATCTTAGAAGATGGAAAAATCTCCTATAGGCATAATTAAATATTGTCAAAATGGCCATACTACCAAAAGAGTTATATAGATTTTGTGCAATTTCTATGAAAATTTCAATACATTCTTCATAGAACTACAAAGAGCAATCATGAAATTCATTTGGAAAAATATGAGACCCAGGATAGTCAAAGCAATGCCTAGCAAGAAGAGTGAAGCAGGAAGAAACACAATACATGACCACAAACTATATTACAGAGATATAGTAAGAAAAAATGACATGGGGGCTGGGGATGTAGCTCAATTGGTAGAGTGCTTTCTTTGCATGCACAAGTACCTGAGTTCAATACTCAGAACTACCAAAAAACAAAAATAAAACAACAACAAAAAAACAACCACCCACCATAAAACAAACAAACAAACAAACAAAAAAACAAACCGGCATGGTTTTGGCACCAAAACAGACATGTAGACCAATGATACAGAATAGGAGACACATGCTAGGAGCCACAGCAAAAGTATTATAATACATGGCACCTTTGTTTTAGGTGACGGCCAGCTAGCCATTGAGATGATATGTTAAGATTTACATTCATATGGAAATTGGACTCCTGCTGTTCACCTCGGCCTGTTATGGGACTCATGTTACGGGACTCCCGGAGAGTTCCCATTGGTTGGAGAAGGATGGTAGGAGGGTATTTCCGGGGAAGTGGCCCCCCCCCCTTCAGGTAGACGCACACACGTGTGTGGACTGGCTCGCTAGCGGGACGCACACGGACCACTGGCGGCCTTTTTAAAAATAAAACTTTGTTTCTGCTCGAAAGGCTTGTGTTTCTGTGCCCAGCCGAGTTGTGGCATTGCAAGTCGGTGTGTGTGAGCAGCGGCAGCGCGAGCACCGAGGCACCTAGCAGGAAGGTGGCGAGGCTGAGGCGCGCCTCAGAGCCCGGCGGAACCCGCGCCGCGCAGCCGCGCAGCCTGCGGCAGACACAGAATCAAACCCACATAAATACAATTATACTAGATAAATCACCAAAAATATTCATTGGAAAAAAGATAACATCTTCAATAAATGATGCTGGGAAAAGTAGAAATCTTTATGAAACAAAGTGAAATTAAACCCCTATCTGTCACCCTGCAAAAAACTGAACTCAAAGTGGATTAGAGATTTAGGCAGTACAACAGAGACCGTGCACCTAAAAGAAAAAAAAAGTAGTCCCAAATCTTCACCATGTCAGCTAATACCTGACTTCCTTAACAATATTCCTAAACCATAAAATAATAGAATAAAAAATCAATAAATGAGATGGATTCAAACTAAAATGTTTTTATGCAGCAAAGGAAACAATGAATGATGTGAAGAAAGAGACTAAAGACAAAAAGAATGGGAGGAATTGTTTACCACATGCACAACAGATAGAGTGATAATCTCCATGATATATAAAGAACTAAAAAATTTAACACCAAGTAACAACAACAACAACAACAATAGCAAAAAATAACTAAATCTATAAGTGAAATGAGCAGAAACTTCACAGAAGAAGAAATACAATTGATCAACAAATATATGAAAAAATATTCAACATCTCTAGCAGTTAGAGAAATGCAAATCAGAACTATTCTGAGATTTCATCTCACTCCACTTAGAATAGCAATTATTAAGAATTCAAGTAACAATAAATGCTGGCGAGGAAATGGGGGAAAAGGTACACTGATTTATTACTGGTAGGATTGCAAAATGGTGCAGCTACTTTGGAAAGCAGTATGGAGATTCCTTAGAAAACCTATAATGGAATCCCTGTTTGGTTCAGTTATTCCTCTTCTTGGTCTATACCCAAAGGACTTAAATTCAGTGTACTACAATGGTGCAGCCACCTTAATGTTTATAGCAGCTCAATTCACAATAGCTAAACTGTGGAACCAACCTAAACATCCTTCAATAGATGAATGGATAAATAAACTGTGGTACATGTACACAATGGAATATTACTCAACCTTAAAGAAAAATGAAATCATGGCATTTTCAGGTAAATGGATGAAAGTAGAGAGTATCCTGCTAAGCAAAGTAGGCCAATTCCAAAAATCCAAAGGCTAAATGTTTTTTCTCTGATAAATGGATGCTGATCCATAATGGTGAAGGGGAGAGAAGAATGGAGGAACTTTGGATTGGGCAGAGGGAAGGGAGAGAAGGGGAGGGGGAGTAGGGACAGGGAAAATGTTGGACAAATATGGACATTATTACCCTATGTATGGTTATAATTTCAAGACTGCTGTGACACTACATCATGTACAACCAGATAAATGAAAAGTCATGCTCCATTTGTGTAAAAAATAAAATTAAATTAAAAAGTTCAATGAAAGGAGTGAATTCAAAGTAAAAAGCTTCTCAGCAAAGGAAACAATTACATAAAGAGAGAGCCTACAGAAAGGGAGAAAATCTTTACCACAGGTACCCCAGATACCACTTTTTTATTATTTTTTAAAGAGCTTGAGGGAGAGAGAGAGAGAGAGAGAGAGAGAGAGAGAGAGAGAGAGAGAGAGAGAGAATTTTTTAATATTTATTTTTTAGTTATCGGCGGACACAACATCCTTGTTGGTATGTGGTGCTGAGGATCGAACCCAGGCTGCACACATGCCAGGCGAGCGCACTACTGCTTGAGCCACATCCCCAGCCCCCAGATAACACTTTAATCTACAGGATATACAAAGAACTCAAAAAAACTCCACATCAAAAACAAAACAAAACAAAACAGCAAAAACCCAACAAAAACAACCCAAATAACCCAACCAATAAATAGACTGAGGATCTATAAAGACACTGCAAAAATTTCTTATGTGTTTTTTGTTAGTTTTGTGATTCAACAGGTTTCACAATGCATGTGCTATGCTCTGTAGGTAAAAAAAAAAAACATACTGTATAAATTTGGCAGATGGTCATTTTGCTAGCTAAGTGCAAGAAAAAAAAACATAATTTCTGATAAAACAGAGGATTCAGCAACCAAAGTGCAAAATTGATGGTCCACAATATTAAATAGTTAAAACTCCTGCAGAATGGAAGGAAAAGTCATAAAACTGGAAAAATAAATAATAGTCTGTGCAAGTTAATTAAAGAAAGAAGGAAAAATTTCCAAGCTCAAGTAGGTATCAAATTGTCCAATTATTTTAATTATCAAAGTATTCAATATGATGTAGCTTTAGCCATTCTGTCACATGTGCTTGCTAGCATGTATACTAGAATAAGTTTGAATTTAACCAGTATATACTTCTGTTATTAAGGTGTTGAGAAAAAAATAATCATACTAAGTAATGAAACTCAAAAACAAGATGATGAAAATGTTACCAAAAATTTTAACTTTTTATAACTCAAGGTTCTAGACATCATTAAATATAAACTCTAAAACAGAGAAATGTATTGAATATGAATAGTAACCACAAACAGAGCTTTTTAAAACAGAAGTAAAAATACCTCACTTTGTGGTGAAAAAATGAAAGACAATTTTTATTGCTAAATATTGGACATTAGCCATCAAATTATTTTTACAACTTTTTTTTTAAATGAATTGAATAGAGCCATTCTATATCTGAATTATTGGGTCTTTAAGTTGAAATGAAGCACATGGAATATATTAAACTATTATAGGGCAAATAGCTTTTCCTTGTTTATCTGGGGTTTTTCTGGATTCAGCACATAACATCCAAGAAACCCTTTAGTTGTGAGCCACTCCAGGTAGAGGATCATCTAAAGTTAATGTTTCAAAAGAGATAAACTCACAGCTTTGGATATTAATACAATTTAGTTATATTGGAAAATATTTTATAGATATGAGATGGTAGATATTTTTATTAATAATACAAATTAAAAATAACCAATGACACAAAATTGTATTAAAAATTACATCCATGTTCTACAGATAGAGATATACATGTTAAGACACATCAAATAATTTATAGTAATTACAAATTATAAATGCAGATAACTAGTGGTCTGGAGGTTAGCAGGTATCTTGGTTAGAATTGTGGAAACGATTGAGAAAAAATTACTAGATGCCCTTAAATCTTGAAATGTATACATATTTATAAGCCATAAAATTTCATAAAAATATATTGTAGGAGCCAGGTGTGATGCACGCCTGCAATCCCAGTGGCTCAGGAGGCTGAGGCAGGAGGATCGAGAGTTGAAAATCAGCCTTAGCAAAAGTGATGCTCTGAGCAACTCAGTGAGACCCTATCTCTAAATAAAATACAAAATAGAGCTGCAGATGTGGCTCAGTGGTTGAGTGCCTCTGAGTTCAATCCCATTGCAAATAAAACAAATGAAAACAAACAAACAAAAAATCCATATTGTAGGGCTGTGCATATAACTTAGTTGGTAGAGTGCTTACCTTGCATGCACAAGGCTCTGGGTTCTATTCTTAGCAGTGCACGCACGCATGCACACATACACACACACACACACACACACACACACACACAAAACATATTGAAATATCCACATTTCCTAGATTTGAGATAATATAATGTCCTTTATTGAAATAATGTAGTGAAAGCTAAACTTTATTTACACAGTGAATGAGGGTATTTTTTTTTGTTCCTAGATGGCAAAATAGAACATGAAGCATTCGCCTAAGTAAACAAAAATATTTGACAATAGCCTTTTCAGCTAATCCAGATTTTACATTTTTTTTTGTAAATTATGAAATAATTGGTCTCTAGTTCCTGGAAAATCTCCTCCTAAGTCAGGAATATAATTTTGTCCACTTTGGACTCAAGATGGATTAAGAATCTTTGGTGGGTCTTTCCTTCACTTTCCTCTCATTTAGCTGGTTGGAGAGCTGAGACAGGGCTCATTTGTCTTCAGTCCAGGGGTCATTCATAGTCTCAGGCTGGGCCAAGGGTTGGTTTATATCATAGTTCCTCATGTGACTGTCCCTGTGTGATACACCACTTGACACCAGCCAGCAGTGGTACTCAGCCTTGTCCTCAGCCAACTGGAGACAACTGGGAGACTCTGCTTCAAACCCTGAAATCTCTAACTTGGCATTGATTTTCATTGAGGTGGACTTAGTTTTGGCCACACTGGTCTCAGAGTGAGTAGCCTATGGAAAACCGTGAGAGAGAGTCAGAATCAGAAGCAGCAGGGTGACAGAACCCTGCAGTGGCTCATGTGAGTAAAGAGTGATAATGGTTACAGGAATTTGACACAGTAATGAGGACATTGTGTATCTCCATTGCAAGAGAGTGATCAGTTTCCCAACTGTCTCCGTTGCATCCTCATCTCACAAATAATCTTGCAAAAACACCTTTTGTGGAACAACTATATTCCCTTATATAATGGTCCACTAAATGGAGATATATTTTGGCCATATTTACACCAATTGAAGCTGCATAGTCTTGGCAATTCTACTCTGTGTCAGTATAATCCTGATTACTAACCTGAATTCAGTGACATGTCCATAGAGGCTAATCTTTTGGTCATGTATGTTTTCTACTGCGTGTGTGGGCAATCACTCTACAGTGCTCAGTGTTGTTCCCTTCCTAAAGTCAAGAAAATGTTACACTTTTGTATAAGTCTGGTCAGGGTGGCAGAATGAAAGGTGAGGGGTTCAAGGTGATCTTAACCATACTCTGTGGAAGTACAGCAGGCATCCAGAAATTATATTTCATTGGGCACTGAACAGGACTTGGATATTAGGAAACAGTGATACAATCTTCACACATTCAAGGTGAAGAGGCCTTTGTCCACATATCCACATCCAACCTGGACAACTTTATGGTGGTTCACCCCATCAATGTTTCTAACCACCAATAACTGAAAATGACTTCAACTTTCAGAGACCAGATTAAGAATGATCTGTGATTTATGATACAAATGACCCTGCCTGTTGAATTTACACAACCACCACAGGCTAGTGGTTCTAATAGGCAGATTATAAAGATATTCCAGTGTGCTTTTCTCCACAGTGTTTGGCATCAGACCCAGAGGGGAAAAGTTGCATGTATAAAACCTATTTTCACAGGTGGTGGGCATACAGAGTGTTTTAGTTAACTTTTCAATACTGTGACAAAATACATGGCCAGAACAACTTAAAGGAGAAAATTTGATTTGGGCTTATGGTTTGAGAGGTTTCAGTCCATGGTCATCTGACTCCATTGTTCTAGGCCTGAGGTGAAGTAGAATATCATGGTAGAAATTTGTGGTGTGGAGGTAAGCTACAAATCTCATGATATGCAGAAAGCAGAAAGACAGATTGTGTGCATAAAGAGCCAGGGACAAGGCAGAAGTGAATTATTTCCTCCAACCACACCTCATCTCTTCCTGTTACCACTCAGTAGTGCCTTCAAATTATCAATCCAAAATTGAGTGTCATCATTTTTATAATATCATTATCTAATGTCACCACTGAGAATTCCTAAATTGTCTGACATGTGAACATTTAAGGAGACACTTCTATAGCCTCATTCAGGACGCCTCCTGTTTAGAGCTCTGTATTCTTTTATGTTCTTCAAGCATCTGTCCAGGGTGTCTCAAATCCACAAGATAATAGGGGATAGTCTGACCTCTATGAATGTCCCTTGAATACATTTTACTAGGTTTTAGAATGAAAGGAACCTCTATGTGGGGTGGAGTAGCACTTAGACCTCCTGATGTGTATTCCAAAAATATATATTTTTTTATCTTAGCTGCTTCAGCCTTAACCCATTTTGTGCCCCTGAGTATATATAGCAGGAAAGATCTCAGCCTAGTTTTTGACATCTGTGCATTCTTCCTTAGATATATTGTTATTTTCTTTGAAGATGGAACATTTGCCACATGTTGGGACATAACCACTGGTAACTTCACCTGAAACAAGATTGGGAAGGACATCCAAAGTTGAAGTCACTGATTTAACTTATTGAACTCGTTGATTCTCAGAGTGCTGATTTGGAGACTTCACAGGCAGAATAAAGTGAAATGCTTTCTCAGGCATGTTTACACAGGCAGAGACAGAATGCCACACCTTCCCCAACTGTCACAGCAGTGAGTACAGGGCAGGGCAGCAATTATTGTCAGCAGATGAATCTGACAACATTCTCTCCCAATATTTCTTATCATTGACTGAGTTAGGAGATTTGCTGGAGGTAGAAGAGTACTGGCCACAGGTGAAAAGAAAGGTTCAGAAGAAAGGAGGTAGGAGGAATAGGAAGTACTTTTTAATTAATTTTTATTTTCCATCTCATTATTAATGTAAATTTATTTTATAAAACTTAATAAAATCATCAGTACTGGTTAAATAGACTAGAGTTTATGATAATATGATAATAGAAGTCACAGGTACGCCTGAGCATCCCAGTACTGATAATTGAAAGACATGGTGAGCCCTGCGTTCGGCCTTGCCCTGAGGGAAGTGGAGAAGGGGCCCCAGGATATGGTGGGCAGGGAGTCAATGTTACGTGTCTGAATATTTCTACCCTTCTTACGTCTGGAAAGTTCTGGGGCCTTTAGGAGTATTTATTTTCATGGTTTTGCTGTTTTACCTCTATTGAGTCTACTGAATTTAGATTAATGTCAATGAATGAAAGCTAGTGTGGCTTGTAATGGGGGAATGCAGGGAATAGTCTATGGAGAAGGCACATCTCAAATAAAGCTTAGAATAAGATTCCTCCCAATAATCATTAAATCTATTAACTAATTATCTTCTATCTTCCCTCTACCCATCCGCATGTAACCAGTGGATTCAAAACCTGGACATGGCAGAAGAACACAAGGTTTCAGGAGCCTATCACCATGAGGGAAGAAGCAGAGAGGTAGCTTGGGAGATGCTGCTTGACTGGGCAAGAGCTTCCTTTGGGGTATGATTTTTATTCCTCTAGTTCAAAAAGATCTGTGCTGCATCTCAACATCATCTCAAGCAACAAGTAGGGCAGGGCGATTTATTGGATTAACCTGGTAAACTTATCAGGTTTAGAGAACATGAGGCATAATATAATCAGTAGGTGGATTTATCCTGTACATGGGATTGAAGGAGCTTCTCTAGGGTGATTATTCTGAAAAAGATGACCCCCTTCTGTGGTAAAGAGGACTGGGTCATAAGGGATGGCACACCCTTTGGAAGACATGAATGTTGGGTTTCTACCCCAATAAATTTGTAAGAAATAAGGGTAATCTTTGTATGCTCAAATATCTAAAATGGTTTGGCAGAATATATCAAAACTATTCTCCTCTACAATATCATTAAAGTGGTCTTTTATAATTTCAAACATAACTTTGAAATTTCTTTTTTTCCATATTTTTATTGGTGCATTATAGCTGTGCACAATGGCTGGGTTTGTTGTTCCATATTTATATATGCACACAATATAATGATATACTTTGAGCATATCATTCCCCAGCATTTCCCCTTTCCTTTCACCTCCCTCCTTCTTCTTCTGGTCCTATTCTTCTACTCTAGTGATCTCCCTTTGATTCTCGTGAGATTCCCTACCTTTGAATTTCTTTCAGTGGAATTTTTGGAGAGAAGAATACAGATAATTCACATGGACAGTAGGGTTGACTTCAAGATGCATGAGCCTTGTCCCCTAACAGCTCTGCCCTGCAGATTCTTGTCTTGTGACATGCAGTCAGCCTGCCATTCCAAACCTGTACTTCAGGGTCCTCAGCACACTGAGGGGTCCTGTGGAGTCTCCCTGGGGAACATTCACTGAAAGCACAGGATCCAGGGTTTCAGCTCAATGACTCAGGTTTTACAGGGAGGATGAATTTTGATAAATTAGCTTAAGATTGAGGAAAAAAGCTGCATTGGCTCAAGTACATGTACAGGTACACTTACCTTAAAATTTATATTCCATATTAAATTTTGGAAGCTACCTCTGTAGCTTCTATCATTTCTGTGCATTTTAGGTCACTTTCCTTTAGATCTTCTCTTTTATTTGTCCATTTGAGATCATTTTATATTTTTCTAAAAATGTGGTGAGAAGAACATATAATGTTACCTTGTTTCAATGATATTAATCCTACATTTCACTTTATATAATCCACTCATAACTGTGTATTGTATCACCATAATACCAAACTTTTCTCTTGGCACCAAAAGGCTGCTAAGCTGAAATCAGGGTGTATTTGTGTTTGTGTGTGTGTGTGTGTGTGTGTGTGTACATGTATGTGTCTATAATTTTTGCCACTTTTATCCATAATTGTGCAACACATGACAGAGTTATGCACTGACTTTCAAGAATACATCTGTATGATAAAATATGTATTAAAACATTTTGGAGCCTTGAATAATAATTTCATGGCCTTTTCTGGAGCAATTGAAAAGAGGTGTACCTAACCCTCACTAGCTCAATGCAGAATCATTGTGAGAAGAAGAGATGTGTTAGGACCAAGAGTGACTCTGAGTCAGGGTGTTTGTGTCTCACTTCCCCACCTGCACGTGTCACTGTGGAAATGGTTGCTGAACCATAGAACACAGTAATAGGTGGCCTCATCCTCAGTCTGGGCCCCCGTGATGGTGAGGGCAGCCTTGTCTCCAAGTAGGGAACCTGAGAATCGGGCAGGGACTCCTGGAACCCGATTACTGGTGCCACCTATTACACCCTGAGGTACCTGGTAGGGCTTCTGTTGGACCCAGCTTGCATAGTTACTGGTGGTGACGGCCCCAGTACTGGAGCCACAGGTGAGTGTGACTGTCCCTCCTGGAGTTGTGGTCAGTGAAGTTTCCTGAGTCACCACAGCCTGGGAAGTGGAGCCTGAATACAGAGAGACCCAATGATCAGGAGAGGATTTGTGGCATTAAGATTTAGTGTTGCCTTCCTCACCCCAATTACAGCCCTGAAAGTTCCCCCTGACCTGTGCAGTGAGCCAGAAGTGTGAGCAGGAGAGGAGCCCAGGTCATGGTGCAGATAGGCCAGGGCTGAGCTTTTCAAGTCTGTTCATCACACGGGCAGCTCCACAGCTTTTATTATGACTCTTAGCACGTTTGGTGGGGAAGAAGGTGGGACTCTCATTCAAATGAGCTCCTCTCCAAGGGCAACACAGCCAATTCACAGCTACTGAGGTTTCATGCACCAGTGACCACTGTTCAGGTTCAGGGCCTGGAGACCAATGTTCTAGCTACCTTTTTTTTTTTTTTTTTTTTTGTTGTTATTGTTGTTTGTTTTTTATTTTAGAGCTTGAGAAGCAGTGCCCTTGTATTTTCTAAAGGGCTTCAACAATGGACTCTAAACTCCATCAGTTCTTTCCCTATTTGTAAGCCTGGTCTACATTGACTTCAGTGTAAAGGAGTGAATGAGAAAAGCATTACAAAGTGACAGTGGATTATTAAATTAAAGTGGGGAAGTAATTTGTACTTCATTTATGTCTTCATCAAACTTGTTACTTCACAAAAGAAACTATGTCAGTGGCCATTGGAGAGGCGTTTGGGAGAAAACACGTATTGCTTCTAGACCAAGGTCCTTGCTCAATATACCTTGCCAGGCCAGAGAAGACACAGCTGGTGAGTTCTAATCAGTGAGCAAGGGGCTCAGCCCTCAGGCCAAGGATCCCTTTAACTGAACAGTCTTTTTTTTTTTTTTTTTTTTTTTTTTTATTAGTTGCTCAAGACAATACTGAACATTTTTTGCTGAGCAGCTGGCAATGTAGGAACCACAGAGTAGTCCCACAGCTCCCCCTGCTGGTTACAGTGCACACACTAAGCCTGGCCTAGAGACCTGACAGCCTAGCTAGCTGGTTTCTGTTACTCATCAGGTCACTGGCTCTAGTCTGATTCCTAGTCTGATTCCTAAATGCAGTGATTCTCACATTTTGTATGTGATTACTGTAGTTTCTCACTACCAGAGGAGTCTTCTGTACCATGGGGGTGTGTTCATGGTGCATTTTGGCAACATGAACCCCTAACCAAGTTCTTTCCTGCCTGGTGCTTGGCCCTGATAGCAGTTACACTGTCAGATGTGGACCAGGGAGGCTGTGTGCTGTGGATTTGCCCCATGGGAAGAAATGACTGCTCTAATATTGTTTATGGACAACAGTACATGGTCTAGTACATTGATTACTTGATATCTCTTAAATCCTTTGAGAATATGCACAGCTTTCCCCTGTGTCTTCATTATCTGAAGGCGTGTGATCTCAATCATTTAACAAATAACTGTTTATTTATTTTTATGACATTGACAGTTTATTATCCAGTCTGACTCATACGTGTTGCTTGTCTCTTTGCTTATTCCTGTTCACGTACATTTTTCTAGAATTAGTTGAATTCCTCCCTAAGTGTAATTCAATTTCTTGTTTGCATGGTCTTAATTTTACTTGCATGTTTTGAATGAATAAAGACAATTGTTTTCATGACCAACTGACGCATGACATTATTTATTTTGAACCTCATGTTGTATGTACATTTGGTTTAAGTGAGAATTATTTCAGGAATTTAGAGAATTAAAAGAAAGAAGAAAATGTTCAAAAATGTAGGGCTAAAATTTTCATTGCCACTTCATTGGAACTTAAACTCTATCTCACAAATGGCCAACTAAGTCTATGTGAGAAAGCCCTTCAAAACATTCTGAATGTCAAACGTGGGAAGCTTTCCTGGTTAAAAATGTTCCATTGTGAGATCCTACATTATTTCCAGGGGGTGTTAGCATTCTCTAGCGTTGCCTATCATTCCACTGGGAGAGGACACCCAGCATCAGATTAGGAGTTTAGGAAGCATTTCCTCCTGTTAATTTTGACAGGACTTTAGCCTTTGTAGGACTTGTGGCTTAATATATGATCTATCATGGAAAATAACCCAAGTTCATGTGAGAAGAATGTACCTAGGTTCACGTGGGTAAGGTGGGGTCAAAAATGAGAAAACTGTCATAGTAAGTAGAACACTGCCCATACACTGGAGCAGGATCCCCAGTTTCCCCTGACTTGTGTCCCACCTGTCTGAATCAATCCTGAGACCCATCCACTGGAGAACAAGTGGGAACTTAAGCTGAATTGTCCACTCACTGGAAAACACATTTTGGTAATCTATACTAGAGTTGAAAGTGCATAATTTTAGAAAATTTGTGTTATACCAGGCTGGATAATCCATGTGATGTTAATTAACAAATAACCACAAATCAGTTAATTAAAACCACCAGGCTAAATTAATGCTCTCAGGCTTGTCTGCTACAGGTGATGGGTGTTCATTTCAGAGTGCATGTTTTCATTCCCTTCATGAAGACAAGAAAAGGCCACTGTGGGGATAATTCTCATTGAGGTGGTAGGAAGATAGACAAAGATTACAAGGGTAGATATGGCTACTACTCCTATTGTCCAGGAGTAGCACAGGCCACTGATTACATTATGGGCCAATTCATGGTAGTAAAGGAAGGCCAACTTCAAGGAGATGCAGAATTCTATCTGCCAGTGAAAAGCACCTTGATATTGGGAAATAGTGACACAACCTGTGCACTGGCCTGGTGCTGAGGAATGTAACAATTTTGAAGTTGACACTTTGAAGTCTGCCCACCACAGCAATGGCAATGTTTGCAAGCACAAATAATTGGAAACAACTGCAATGCCCACAGTCGAGTTTTAGAATGAACGGGTTCTTTGCATATTCTTTTTTTTATTAGTTGTTCAAAACCTTACATAGCTCTTGACATATCATATTTCATACATTTGATTCAAGTGGCTTATGAACTCCCATTTTCCCCCATATACAGATTGCAGAATCACATCGGTTACACATCCATGTTTTTACATACTAGTGTCTGTTGTGTTCTGCTGTCTTTCCTATCCTCTACTATCCCCCTCCCTTTCCCTCCCCTCCCATCTTCTCTCTCTACCCCATCTACTGTACTTCATTTCTTTCCCTTGTTTTTCCCCCCTTTCCCTTCAGCTCCTCTTATATGTAATTTTGTATAACAATGTGGGTCTCCTTCCATTTCCATGTAATTTCCCTTCTCTCTCCCTTTCCCTCCCACCTCTCGTTCCTGTTTAATGTTAATCTTCTTCTCATGCTCTTACTCCCTGCTCTGTTCTTAGTTGCTCTCCTTATATCAAATATGACATTTGGCATTTGTTTTTTGTTCTTATCACATGAACTCCCCATTGAGTTCACACCCACACTCTTAGGTTGCTCTTTGAAGCAGGACTTAAAGCTGGCTCTCTTCCCTGTAATTCACAGCAGTGGCAAGATGAAAACATCCACCTGACCTTGTCCCATATTTGATGGCTGTTCAAAGGACATCCCAGTGTAGCCAGTTCCTGCCTCTCTCAGGCCACACCCTAATGAGAGTCCCCCTTCTTTTCATATTGATCAGGCATCTATCCTATACTTCCAGTTTTCATCCAAGGGATGAGTTCTACTACTCTGAGTGTCTTGAATGTCCTTTGGCAAATATGGAGGGAAGCTACTACCCAGTAGGGGATGAAATGACACTCAGAGCACCTGATATTTCTTCCTCAAATATATTTTCTGTTGTGGGTGCTTCCGTCTTAATTTGTTTCATGCCTCTGGGTAGATAACAAGGGACGTTTCTCAGATGCAGATCTTGGCATTTTTTTCCCATCCTGTTTACATGAGCAGTAGGTCTTCTTACCAAATGGAATATTTGTCACATAGTGGCTTATAACTACAGGGAACCTCAGTTGTTATGCCATGTGGAGGGACAAATTAATAAAGCCACTCTTTAATTACCCAACCCATTTAATCTCAGAACTGATTTGGAGAGTCCACAAATAAGACAATCTACAAATGGTTCCCATGGAGAAAGCATCACTGCAGACCTGGGCACAACTTGGAAATCTAACCTGCCTCCACCTGACCTTGCACTGAGTCTCTTTCTACTTTAAACTGTTTCTGTCCACACACATGGCTGCCCCTATTCTCTCCAGGATGCTGCTCATGTTAGATGGGCTCTGTGAAAGTGCTGGAGATAGAGGAGTCCTTACATGTGAAAGAAAAAAGTGTCACAGAGAGGGTGAAGGAGGTGGGGCATTTTTCATTAAATCTAACTTAGCCTACTATTACTTATTAAATATTATTTAAAAATTTAAAAAGTTGCAAATAGTGCCAAGTGTACTTCAGATATCAAAGAAACAGTGCCAAGAGATTTCTGTACTTTTAAGAACCCAAGAAAATATATTAATTTATCTTATATTAGAAGTAAATTGATTCAGGCAAGATTACAGATAGGTTACATCTATTCTGATGGGGTGTTTAAATAAAATTTAAATACATATACATTATAGGAGAAGGGCCCTACAGGCAGAAGTGCTCAGGGACATCAAAGTTGATGATGTAACCTTTGTAGGATCACATGCAGGTCAACTCAGTGTGTCAAGGTCTCTAAAGGAGTCTTCAGAGTGAAAGAAGCCATTAAGACATGAAGTAACATATACTGTATGATTCTGTTTAAAATCCTAGGAAATAAAAACTTATACAAATTTACTTAGGGTGGATAAGTAGTTACCTTGGATTGTACCATTGGCCTGGGTGTAGGGAGGATTCTTAGGGGAAAAGAGAAGAATTTGGGGTTCAATGATAGGTTTGGAAACATGATTTGATGAGATTTTCAAATGTGTGTAAATATCTCAAAACATAGGAAATGGGGCACTTAAAATATTTGTGGTTTATTGTATGTCTATTATCCTTCAATAAGAATTACATGAAAGGTTGGGATAAAGATTTCAGAGATTCCCAGTGAGGACTAATGACAGAAGGACACAGTTCTGAATCTCCTGGATACAGAAAAATTGAGGATGGTGGAATACAGAAATCTCCTCAGAGTGATGTCTGAGATAACCACGGCTGGACCAGTCGCCTCAGCCACCGAACTTCATTGCTGAGGAATTCTGTGTCCCAAGCTCATGGACATCAGGACTTGTTTTCTTGGAAGCCCTTTAATAATGGCTGCTGTGAGTGACTATCATGAAAGAACAAGAGGAGGCACCTCATCCTAGGAATTGTCCATGGATGTGCCCAGGCCCATGG